CCCCAAAACCCCAAAACCCCTAATGATATAAAGGGCACTTACAATAAGTTCTGATTAATATGACTAGGAAAAACTGTAAAATAATAATTTTTCATCAGGTATTGAGATAGTTTTAGCATAAATATTAATTTCTGAAATCTAAAAAAATTAAAATTAGAGTAAAATTCTAATCCATATGGAAAGATTAAAGAAAAAGATATGCTGCCAGTTATTTAGCGATTTTAACGGAAACTAATATCTATTGCCTCTTAAAAGTTAAATAGTCAATGCCAGAATAATGAATTCAATAGCAACAATAGAAATAATCTAGAAATTCTTTAATGATACTGCTCAACCCTTAGAAGTAACTCTTAATGTACCAATTGAAGAAGACTATGGAATCGGAAAACTTATGATTCAAATTGATGAAAAAGTCATTGAAGGCAGAATATTAGAGAAATAAAAAGCTTAAGAGAAGTACGAAGACGCAGTTGCTTAAGGTCACACAGCTATAATGGCTTAAGAGGACGACTAAAAAGATGAAATCATCAAATTGTCAATAGGTAACCTTTTGCCAGGACAAGAAGCAACATTGCATCTCTAACTCCTTAATGTTTTGAAGATTGAAGGAGCGGCATATTGCCTAAGAGTACCTTTGCACTACTTCCCAAATTACAGCTCAGTTTAAAACTAATACAGCTATTAATTCTTTGTTGAAATCCATTCTGACTCCCCAGTTACATATTTAAGCTATCCAAACAATTCAAAGTTAATTAAAACTACTTCTGATGAAAACTTACTTCACATTAAAATTGAAAAAGCTTAAGATAATGTACTATGTCTTGAGAATGATTTGGTGGTATACTACAGGACTAATGATATGGAAAGTACTGTACTCTACTCTCAAGAGTCAGATAGCCATCCTGATTAAGTAGCAGTTATGGTTTCTTTTGTTCCTAGTTTCATTGAATCGACTGTTGAAAGTCCATCTTTGGAGACATTTGAAGAGGAAATGCCTGATCCTTAGGATGAACCCAGGTGACTGTATGTACATATTCTTGGTTGATAGAAGTGGATCAATGTCAGGTGGAAAGATGACAACAACTGTTGAGGCTCTTAAACTTTTTCTAAAATCTTTGCCTCCTAGGTCTAGCTTTGAAATTATTAGTTTTGGTTCTGAATACAAAGTTTTCTCCGATTCTACTACTGGTTTAGACTACAATGATGAATCTATGGATAGCGCTATTAGAACTGTATCTTAATTCAGTGCTAATATGGGAGGAACCGAGATCTACAAGCCACTTGAATTCGCTATTTAGAGTATTACTACAAAACTTTAAAAGAGAATATTTATGCTAACTGATGGAGCAGTAGAAAACAGGTAGAGAGTCATAGAATTAGCTGAAAAATGTCCCTTTGATATCAGAATACATTCTATTGGTGTTGGAAGAGATTGTGATGTGAAACTTGTTTAAGAGGTTGCAAGAAAAGGTAGAGGATCCTGCAGTTTAGTCCTTGAAAATAAAGACTTAAAAACTATTGTAATCTAAGCCCTTGGCAGAGCAAAAGATCCATCTTATAGCAACTTCAAATTATATCTTGCCCCCTAAGCAAGCATTTGCGTTAACAACATGAAACATGACTTTACAAACACAACTGGAATAGAATTATTCAGGAATGAAATCTTTTTAATGCTTTCAATAGTCTCTAAGAAAGACTTTTCAAAACTTAAGCTAAAAGCATCAAGTGATATTCATCCAGTCTCAAATAAGGGGATAAATCATGAATGGACTAAAGCAAATTTCAAATAATTAGATAAGGGAGAAGAACTTTTCAAAATTGCTGCTAGAATGAAAATTAATGAACTCTCTAACCCAATATCTCGATATGATAGCATAGACATAAAAAGTATACAAGAAAAATCCTTAAAATACTAAGTTTTAAGCAAGCATACTTCATTCTTAGCAATCAACAAGAATGATGAGAAGCCTGTAGGAGAACTTAGATAAGTTAAATTATTAAACCATGATTAGTAACTTGATGAGTTAGTGAAAAAAAGCAAAATGCAGCTAGGGGTAGTTAGCCTTCATTCTTAAGAATGATTGGTAGTGGGATTAAAGGATTATTTAATATAGGTAGATCTTAATAGTCTCCTACATTAAACCAAAGAAGTTATGATATGAATTCTGCTCCTATAGAAAAATCAGCTTAGATTAAAGGTTCATTTACTAATTTTTAAGTAAAAGGCAAGAAAACAAAGAAAATGGCAGCTGATATTAGTGAATCATAAGAGGATGAAGAAGAACATGGCAATTTCTAAGGTTTTGGTTTTAGTTCAATAGCCCATTCTCAAGAAAATTTTGAAACGATGAAAAGATCTAAATTATTTGACCAAGAAGAAGAAAAATCAATGCCAAAATAGGCTTTGATGAAAAGAGAAATGATGCCGCCACCTACTATGAGTATGAATGCCTCTAATCGCTAAATTCCTACCATTGGGATAATGCCTCCAGGATCTTCTCCTAAACGATAAATGATGCAGTCAGATATTCCTCCTTAAATTTAAAAAAGCTCAATGATGAGATAATCAAAAACCTATGATGATTTGATAATGGACTAGACAAGTTTAGGGTTTTGGAAAAATATCACGATTATTTAAACTTTCATTAAGGAAGATATACTTTCCGATTAAGCTTTGATTTCAGAGATTAAGCAATTGATTAAGGATTAGGATGCTTTTGAGTAAGTTTGGATTACATTGGTAGCTCTCTACATTTTATAAAAGAAATTTAATTCTAAAAAGAATGAATGGGAGTTATTAGCTCAGAAGGGCAAAGATTATATTAGATCATTTGGATTACAGAAGCCAGACAATTATGTCAAGAAAATAAACTATAAGGTGTTATGATATTATCAGTTATTTTGATTATTAAATTAAAATCCTCAGAATTATAAAATTATTTAAAGAAGCAATATTAATCAGGACTTTTTACAAAGTGGGGTTTTGGGGTTTTGGGG